CAGTCCCAGTTTCACAGACCGGTTATTAAATCTTGGTAACAAAATAAATTGACCATATGGTCAAAGTTTACAAATTTCGAATTAGGCACAAAATTGTGAACTTTGTGAAAGTACTGTATGGTCGCCATCGTTGTCACAAACCAATCGCCGCGGGTGAGAGCGCGAGTTCGAAAAAAATGACACATAAAGCGCCCTTCCTGCTCACTAGTCCCTGTAATGAATAATGTAATGCGATGTTGAAGCGAATACAGGTTGTGCAGCAGACTTTTCACCGCAGAAATGTTTCAACATGATCTGCATGCAGAATTAATAAGTTAGTAGTTTGTGTCAACAAAACCGTCTGGAAGTCGAGAGCAATATCTCTATTGGAGTACAAGATGTGTTCACAAGCCTGCTTGTTTACGGTGTAATAAGGTTCCTTCACCTCACCGGATATTTTCCTGTCTCGTTCTGAATCGCAGAATGTGACCACTGCGCACACCTGGAATTTTAATCTATTTTGTCATGTAAATGGGAGGTTTTACACGTTACTGTGTGCATTTTACTTTAATTGTGATTTGAAATGCACCGATCAATGCCGATCCTTTCTAACGAACATGAAAACCAAAATGTGAAAATCGCATTGCAGTTCCTCTTTAAGTTTTGACAAGTGAATGATTTCTCTTGGAAGGCGTTGAAATATGGGGCCGATTGTTCTTAGTGCACCCCTCACACTCGGTATTCCTTCGAAACGTTTGCCCTTTGTTGTGGTGTCTGGCTCGACCCTGGAAAACCAAAGAGAAATGACTTTTTTATCTTTATTACAGGAATTCAGTCTGCACATTGTATCCCGATTATCAGAGCCTTTGTTTTACGAATAAATATTCCAATAACAATGTAATGTTTGAATTGCTTAGCTGTTTTGCGAGCACTGTTTAGAAATGCGAACTGAGGCAACTTGTTATTTTCACAGACTATGATACAGATGTCTCTTTTTGCCTTAAGATTTGATCCTGGACTCCTTACCTGCTGTAGATGTTTTTTATGAGGGCGGATCCATTTTGGAGACGGGGCGGATTTTTGATCTCTGCTCTGAACTAAAAACAAAATCATTTTTTTAAACAAACATTAGTCATCTTTTAAATTTCCCGATTCCTTCGCAGTCCGTATTTCACATTTAACTTTGAAATATCCTAACGCTGTCTTCTCAGTTAAGCAGCACTGATAACTAAGCGTTTCTCAAATAACGTCAGTTCAATTTCGATGACAGTCACAGAATAGGAAAAGGATTAAGAATTAGCCTTTTTAAGAATCAGTAAATCACTTAAATTAAAACTGAGAGAACATGTATTGTAATTTTTTTATACATTTAATTGACGTTTCCAGAATATTTTAATGTTTATAAAAAAAGTAAAATCAGCACATTTATTTAATTTTGAATTGCGACTCTTAAATTAAAGTCTTTGTGAAGGGGGTGTCCTGGAGATCGGTATTCATACAATAACATTAAAATAATTTATGTCGGCGTCCAAACGGAGAACATTAAGAGAACAAAAAACACACAGAAATATAAGAACATTTTAGCTCAAATGAAGGGCCAAACACGCAATTTTATTTTAATAGAATTCAGATTTTTTT